CATCGTTCAAATGGCTCGTTCACCGAATCATTAGATACAACGCCTGGTAAACGCACGGAAAGTTCTGATCGACCGCCTCGTACTCGCGGACGTGTTCCACTGCACACATCGGGCAACCATGGAGCTAAAGGAATCTCTTTTGCAGTCGCACGCAAGCAAACGAATCGTTCGGAACGATGGCCACAACGGTCTCATTTCGATACGAGTCTTGACGATTCGACCGCGAGACACTTCGAGGACGACTGACAACGCTTGACGAAAAGTCACCACTCGCCACTACTACTTTGCCAACGTCGAATGGACAGTCATCGTCCATCGGGTCTCGCTACGCCCATTCGATCGTTGCCAGCGCTTCAGTGGGCGCCATCGGCACCTTTGGTGGAACCTAATTCAGGGCATACTTGTGACCGATGCATGACATTGCTTTATTGGCATCGAGAGACGCACTGAGACATTGATATGATTCGAACCATTTTTAGAAAAGTAAGGACATTTCAAAGACTGGAAGGAGGATTGAGAAATCCTCATGGAAAAGCTGTTTGCTTCATAAAAGTGCCCCAGTTCAGTCGTTGCCAAATCATCCTCCTAGATCTTCATGGCATTCAATAAGCTTTTGACTAAGAGTCCAGTGACCATAGCTATCTAGGGATGATGGTACTCTGTTTTCGGATCGATTTTGTACCCTCCATAGGAGCGCTTCCGTCTAGTGCAGGCAGGACACCTCGCGATGAAAGTTTTAATGTTAGTAGAATCTTTCGCGGGTCTATAACTCCCAATCCTGGGGAGCGCTGCGCGGTTGTTTGAGTTTGAATCAATGCCTTAAGATCAATGCCGAATTGGATCTTCACATCTTTTATAAAGTCATTTTTGTTGAGAACATCTGAGTATCTGACGGCAAACAGACAGAACAGTCAACTAATCAAAAAGCATAACATGGATTACGAGGTATGAGTGAGGAACAGAAAAAAACGAAAGCAAGATGTAAAGGTTTTTGACACAAGGCAAGTGTCTCTTTAGGCGCGATTGCGCCTGAACAAGTTCACCATAAAAATTGGCTGGTGATCTTAACACTGCGTACCGTTCACGAAGATCTCCGTTTTTCAATCCTTTCGCGAGTCCTTTAACTAGGCCTATGGCCGAAAAAGTCATAGCCATGTAGGCATCGAACTTGAGGACTGAGGCTTAGGTCAGAGCGGCGGATCGACGGGAGAAAATATCCGGTATGCAATGAGTCCATTTTGCAATAATACGGAAAGGATCAGAAATATAAAGAAACGAAATTGGTAACGTAACAGGTTTGTTTCTATTTTTGTTACTAACTGAAACGAAATCGATTTCGTTACCCAGCCCTGCTCGGAAGGGGGGCTTTACAACTAAGCCTATCGGCAACTCGAGGGGAAAATGTTTTAAGACAGGGTTTAAATAGCGAAAAAAGAGGGGGTTGACGACTCAAGGCGAATCGGTTTAACGGTGGAGTACAACTTCTTAGCAGTTTTCGTACAAGTGTTTCGTTGCAACGCGATGAAACAAACTACACATGTCGAAATACCTTAACATATTTTTTACATAAAAACTCAATCACGACATGATTGTTCACTTTCCAGCGCAGATTCCATGCGGAAGGCGCAGCACATTCTACAAGTCAGACACAGGATACGACAGAACATATTCACATCAAAGCGGTTTTACTACGGTTTGGAGGCATGGCATATATCTACAACCAGGGGAAATGCAGTAAAGAGCTAGTACAAGAAACCTCACGAAATGTGAAACAGAAACTTTGAATATAGACAAAACATTACATGCAATTACTGCCGCAAAATACTTGCTCCGTCTCACAAAAGAACCGCCTTGGAATATCACACCGACATCGATCACACCTTCAAGCTCGAGTCCCTGCAAAGGGGGGGAGGGGGTTTTCGTGTTCAAGGTAGTTTAACATTTTGGCATACATCTGTCATAACTGCCACCACATTCCAAATCCTTGGATGACCGAATGGTCATCCAACTTCTTAAAATTGACAATTTCACTGCACTCATCTAACTGGAGTACCAGACCATCCATTTCATTGGCCGTTATACCTCTGCAATTATCTTCTTTGCAGCATCCCAACCATCCATCTTGACGAAAACATTCATTCCAGCACCCACACGTACAGCGTAGACCCACGTGAATAATCCCGGAGAACTCGACAGGGTCCTCTTTAGTTTGTTCGGAGATGAGAGTAAAGTGTATAATGCTGGATGCCACTTCAATAGTCGGTCCCGCTACCCCGACCACGCTGCCGCGAGAGGTTGCTCTACCTTTCCCTCCTTTAGATTAAATGCCAGTAGGAATTTTACGGGTTTACCGGCACCCCAGACTGGATATTGCACAAGCGCACCGAGTCGAATTTGCCCGATTGGTATTGAAACTGTGGACGGACTAAGCGGAAAAGAGACAGACCGATCGCAAAAACTGCCATTTTCCCATCGTAACTCTAGAAATGACCTATAACCACTCTCATTTACGAGAAAATCTCGAACTTGAGTCAAATCAGAGATCCAACGATGACTGACCTGAAACCGTGACCAGTTGGCATCAGAAAGTCCAGCGAGTGCTCCAGCGTTCCGTTATTTGGACGAGCTTGGATTCCCAAGAGGTGACAGAGCAAAGGGTACACATCGATATTGTTGAAAACGAAATCCTCGGGAAACACGTAGCCCTTCTTGAATGCCGGGCCGTGGGCGATCAAGTTGGCCTGCATCTCGGGAAAGGAATTATTGTATCCGTGGACCCCGATCATCACGTTCCTCTGGTCTGGTCAGATGATAAACCCGATGAGCGGCCACGGAAATGCAAGGACTCATTGGAGTCATGAAGAGAAAATAGACCTTTGGGAGTATCCAGTAACCGGGAATCATCCTTGAAGGTGTATCCTTTGTCCGCAACGACATAAAATGGTGGGGAAAATAATGTGGGTCCGTAATGCCATTCCTCGGGGCTGTTTTCCGTTTCGTACACCGTGAATGGTTCCGTCATGGATGCAGTCAGGAATCCTTGATACACTTCTTCCTCTTTACCTACCATGATAGGTACACGAAGAGAATGTTCTCATAATGGAGAAGAGAGGTTTAGCGACCTACCTTCCAGTGGGTAGATGAGCACGAGGGGTGAGTTGGTGGCATGCAAGTAATCATTGGGAGAGACGGGGATGGACTCGAGGTTCAACGTCATGTTACGATCGACTCCCAGCATCCCGTGGTCCGAGAGAACGATGAGATTAGTCCTCTCAAACAAGCCGAGGGTCTGAAGTCGCGACACCATGTATCCAAGCAATGCATCCACCTCTTCCACCATCGCCTTCACCTCCAAAGATTCCGGTCCGTATTCGTGCCCCGTGTGGTCGGGTTCATCCAAGTGAAAGATGACGAAATCGGCCGGCAGATTCGGGTCGACGAACCAGGACAGAGCGATTTCTACTTGCTCTTCCCATGGCATACTCTCGTTGTAATCTGTGCGATGAGTGGGAAGGGATTCATTTGGACCCCAGTGAAAACTACTTCCGGCCCACATACTCGCCCCCGAATATCTTCCTTCCCCTGCCTCTTCATTAGTCACCTATTTATGATGTGAATGAGAACATCTCCAAGAACCTATGATTATGTCGAGAAGAGGAAGGAACCAAATAAAAACTTCAGAAAAATAGAGACGAGGGCAATCAGCGCCATTTACCATGTAATTTGTTATAGGTGATATGAGTGAATCTCGTAAAAGTGAAGCACATGATCACAGCGCACATAATGTGAAGCAGGAGTCCCTTTGTGTCTCTTTAATGTGGAAGCTATATTTTCTCACACGAACCAACGAATTTCCATCACCAAGAGCCGGGGTTGGAGAGAATGGAAAAAATGACGTATCGAGAGGCTCTTAACCATACACAACCAGCACTTGCTCAAAAGTTGGTTACTGATGGAAGTAATTATGTTACAATAAAAGTATTATATCGATAACACATATCTAGAATTGTCTGAGCACCCAAGAGAAAGCCTACTTTGCTTGCTTTTGCCATCATGTGGCTTCCATAATGCCACTTCCAGGCCCGTCCAGACTAAATGGGATCAGTAAGGAGAGTCGATATCGCACATCAGTACAGTTGTCATCTAGGAAAGTTCTCATCTTCAATTGAAAGCACAAGAGCAGAACATTTTGTTCCTTCACGCTTGTGAGGAAGATTTATTTTTCAAGATGGATTACCTGTCTCGGAATGGAGCCGTTACTATTGAATAAAATCATGAGTTCCCATCATGATTAACTAATGTCAAAGGAATCAAGAACGTTATTCCAGTAGGCAAACTGTAAAATGTATTCATTTAGTGAAAAAAAAAACCATTTAGCTGCAGTAGATAAAAACTCATAGGTAAATCCATATTTGGATATTTGGGGATTTGAGTTTACCAGACTGTATATTAGTTGTGTATCACTGAGTCGACAATGCTCTTAGATTGGATGTCGTTTGAACACTACAGGGTGAGTCAAAAGTCCTGTCCCATTGAATAACACGTATAACTTCACCAAAATGGAAAATATATTCAATCTTTCTAATCACAAGTTACAACAACAACCTACCGAACACATCACATCAATAGAGATCAATATGACCACCCTTGGCCTGAAAGACAAGCTTCAGACGGTTCATGAAGTCATCGACCGATTTTCGCAAGTTGTCTTGAGGGATTCGCTTCCACTCCCGCCACAGGGTTAGCTTCAATGAATCCCAACTACAGTGACGAGCCACATTGACTTTACTCTCCAAATTGCCCCAGATGCTGAAGTCTAAGAGATTCACATCGGGGGAACATGGTGGCCATTCCGCAGGACTGATGAATCCTGGAATGTTGTTCTGCAGCCACTGGGTCGTCTTCGCCTTGTGAAAATCGGTCGATGACTTTATGAACCGTCTGAAACTTGTCATTCAGGCCAAGGGTGGTCAGACTGACATTTTTCGATGTGATGTGTTCGGTAGGTTGTTGTTGTTGTTCACCATTTTGGTGAAGTTTTACGTGTTTTTCGATGGGACAGGACTTTTGACTCACCCTGTATTTGCGGATCCGTGTATATTACTCGCCGTTTCAGATCTGGAACGCGTAGCCAAAGTGCCATTCGAATATCTGGAACTTGAACGCCTAGTAAAACGTTCACGTTGCCGTCCTGAACAATGGGTTACCAAAACACTATTATCGTGCTGCAGAACAACGCTTGAAGTCAACTTCCCCGATCGCTTTCGGCTGATAGCTTCTCGAAGTAGTCCCTTCATGAGGTTGCTGTAGTATTCAGCATTCACTGGGGCATTTTGCCGAAGAAATTCAATGAATATCACTCCTTTCGAAACCCAAAAAAAGTTGCTATTTTTCCCAGCTGATGGCATGACTTTGAACTTCTTTGGTTTGGGAGACGAGGAATGACGTCATTGCTTTGACAGCTGTTTTTTTCTCAGGCTCAAAAAAATGGATCCATGTCTCATCAGAAGGGACAGACAAGTAATTTTTGACTAGGAAAGGTGCTAACATAGCTTAGTTATCCGACGCTCTTTGTCAGCGTGCAACCGGGAACTCGAGCAGTCAGTTGAAAGTGCCTCGGGTGGAACGCGATTGAAACGCTATGTGGAGCTTGTCATTAACTATGGACTGCACTGAAACATAACAAATATTGAATCTTCCAACAAATTCCTTCAGTTTCACACGTCTGTTGTCACGAATGGCTTCATCAATCTGCTTGCACTGTATTTCTGATGTGGATGTTTCAGGTCGTCCATTCCTTACATTATCACACACTCTTGAATCATTCATGCCACTCATACAGGCTACTTTTGCTCAAACATACATGACCAAACTGTGCCTGAATTCTACAAAGAACCCCACTAAGTTTCACTCCTTCCTCGGTCAAATATTTAACGATAGCTCGTTGCTCAATGATGAACACGTTCTCCATATATATACTGTATATAGCTAGACCGAGAGATTTGGACAAGAGCTCCTGCTGGAAGTGGAGTGCAGGAAACTCTCGAATGCTGTCCTTCTCGTCATCCAGACCACGTTAACTCCTCTTCCATGTGAATTCATTCATTGGAGCGATTGTCTCTCGCATATGGTTATCATATGGTTATTCCTAACGAATAGCAATGTTTGAATCAATCCAGAGTTTTCTCAACGTTATTTTAAAATTCCTCCTTGTCCTACGTTGGTCTGAGTCTGCAGAGTATGGCAAAAAAAAACCGTTGAGGTTGCTGAAGTCATATCCCACCACGTATTCTGAGGATGTAGCATGTTTTACTTCATTTTTAAATCAAAAAGGAAGCAAAAATATACAATAATTAAGATGAAAGTTATTAAGGATATTACTTCCACGAGGATGACAAGGCTGACATGTGAAATGGACAGTTCCTTTAAATAAATAAATAATAAACATGTAGAATTCCTATCGAATGTTGAGGAAAATTTCTCGACTGATACTCATTGAATTATATCCTATTCATTGTGAATAGGATATAATGAAAACTATCTTCAAGAGATAACCAACCCAATTAATGGATTTAAGCGGAAGAGGAACTCGACGTGGTCTGGCCGACCAGGAAGGAGGTCCAAGGTTGACCGAGTTCAAGAGATTCCATTTCAAGCAGGAACTCTTGTCTATTCTCCATGTCTAACTTCCTTTAAGTATTTGCTGATGGTATTGATCTAGCACAACAAATCTGTGTGATATTACAAATATGTTGGAAACATATTCATATATGCTAAGTGAAGATCGCACGAAAATGGCTCTGTTGTGAGCGGGGATATAGAGTTGAAAGTCGTAGACAATTTTTTCCATGCTCTATATAGTTCCCGTGGCACTAAAAGGAGTAAGATTCCTCGCAACGAAGCCGAGACGTAGTCCTACGAGCATCACACAAACATACGTGGTCTCACCCAGATGGGGATGATGCGAAGGTCCGCAGTAGCGTATTCCTCGCCGTCCACGAACATGTACACCGGTTCACCCGTCTCGGGATCGATGATCCTGTTCGCGATGATCTCGTGAGTCTCGGCGTAGAGACCCGTGGCGATGGATTCATGATTCACGAAAGTGATGGATGGGAAGATCGGCTTCATCTTCGGTACGTAGACTCCATTCTCTTTCGACGCGTCCAAAACTCCGCATAGGCGCTCCCTTTCTATTAGCACAGCCTTAGGCAGCGTGCTATGGTTGTACTGCTCAAGAACGCGAGGCTGGACGGCGGGGTGGCGGTCGTTGTGCTTGTCTCTCTTATGCTCTCCGGCGAGCCTACTCCAGTCTGCCGCTACCATCGTCCCCATCGTCGAGGAATGAGCAGGAATGATGAGAAAACCCGACGGGTGGGTTATAACACTCGAGTTGTCTAAGGCTGGACACTCCAGGTGTGGCGATAGAAACTCCGGTGAGAGGGGGCAGCGGGTGCTATCTCTCCTCTTATCGGTTTCTAACCTTTATCGTATAGATTCAAATCTCCCGCATAAGCGGTGGCAGCCGGATTTTTTTCTCCGAAGCTCTTAAGCGTTTGCTAGCTGCGTAGTGTAACTGTCCTAAAAATCAACAGTTGATAATGAAGTCATTATTGACGGAGAATCAGAACGTTTTCCCAAAAAGTTACAGTTTAGCATTTGTAGAAATAGATCACGGAAAAGGCGTTCTGTGCCACAAAAGTGGCCTTTCGGCCGATTGAGTATCGTCACTCTGATGGGAACACCGAGATCGCCGAACATCCTTGGATGTCAACCTCACAGAGCCCCTCGCAGAAAACGTGAGGAAACAGTCCTCGACGAGTGCGAGCAAGGAAGTCTTAAGGCAAAAAGCTTACGGTAACGCTCGAAAGTGGTGCTCCGGTGGCTAGAATCCGTCACGTAACAGTACGAGAGCTTCCCCATATCGTACCCTCTGCAACCATACCTAAAGAAACTAACTAGAGACATACTCAAACAGATTGTCGAGTGGAAAAATCTGAACGAAGAGTTCGCGAAGAAGTCGGAGTGGTATCGAGTCAATCAATTACGTGCTGTAGACGAAGCGCAAGTCGATTATACTCTGGTAGGGAGAACAAGCGTACCAGAACGCTCGGGTCTCTGAATATGCCTTCTTTCGGAGTAAAAGGTTCCTTAATGCTCGCCTTGTGTAGAAGGAAACTCTGACATCTTACTTTTGCCGTGTACTGTAGTATCTTCCTCTCGGCGGATACTCATGCTATCTCAGGGTTCACGAATACGTAAATTCCAAGAGGTAAAATCCATTGGCATTAAAAGCCATACTGATAAGCATCTCGTGCCCCTCCTCATAGCCTTTAACCTAGAAAGGAATGTGCTTGTAGTCAGAAACGATGATACGTTAGTCTCAGGTGACTCTGGTCTGGAATTGTGCTACCTTCACCTGATGCGCGAGGCTTACAAGCCTATGTGTCTATAACTTAAGCGTCGTTCTATGTTCTCCGTAGCCTAACAGATTGCATGACACGTTCACTCCATCACGGCATATGCCGTTTTCTCCCATCCCTTCGCTTAGCCTATGACCGAAAAAGTCATAGCCTCATGGGCTTCGCGCGTTAGGCCTGAATGGCCGAAATGTGCACTGCAATGTGTTAATACTGGATGCTACTTCGATTAGAACGCTTAATACTCGCCGGTTACGAATAGGCTGATCAGATAGATTACTATGAAGAGGAATTCATTGCTGGGCAAAAGATTGCCACAGTTAATCGAGAACGGTCGGACAAGATTGCTCTTCTCTTGGAAGAAATCTAAAAAGCGCTTGGTGCATCTTTTTCAAGTGCTGAAGCTGCTCTTGAGTATAGCTGCCGGTTTTTGCATAAAGTTCGCCATTGCTGTTTGTAGTAGAAATGTGCCGCAGTTCACTCGATACTTCTCGTTTGATTATCATCGTGACTTCGGCAGAAAATCCGACTTCATTGGATCTTTCCAATCGATGACGTTTCGATGCTCGAGGGGGTTACTTAACATTTCTGAAACCTCGATAGTTTGTTTCACGATGAGATTCGGCGGTACCGTCCTTCAGGGTGTTTTCGAAGATTCCGCAGAATCTTCAATGATGTTAAAACGTCCTGTAAGAGCAAAATGAATGGCATGGAACGCGCAGGAAGTTTGCACAGGACTCTCGCGTTATGCTGCCAGCGCGATGAGCCCGTTACCTTCCACCCGGCGATCGGTTTCCCAGCTCCCGAGTTCGGTTATGTTTTGGGCGGCTCATTATCATAGCGACGAAGTTTCGTGAATACGGCTCCGATACGTTTGTGGATGCGATTGAATTAAAATTAAATCCCGGCATAATTTTCCGATAGTTCAAGAATATCACAAAATACTAGTAACATCCTTACGGTTATTTCGTGCATTATGAAGACCTAATACTTTGGGCCTTTTTAAAATTCATTTGAGCCTACATTGCACGTGATACATAATTACATGAAGTAACATTACTTTCTCAAAAAACCGATAAAGAATTCCATTGAAACGAAGCGAAGACCCTTGGAAGCATGCGCCAACTGAACTTACAATGCATCGGAATGCAATACAGTTTCATGATACTTGTTGGGGGTTAACCTTATGTTGTTTCGAAACCAGGACTGGAAGAAGGACCGGTACAACAGCAAGTTTATATTTACACCTTTGACCAAAAGGAAGGCTAAGGCCTAATAGAGTTAAAGGCAACAAATAAATGCCGCATATGTCCGCGTATCACACCTTTGTTTTTTAGTTATCGTCAGACAANTGAGGCGTATCCGCGAGGGAAAGGTAATCGTGTCGGAATCCGTCGCACGATACCAACATGACGAGTTCTTGCGCTCCGACCTGCCGCCCCACCGCCAGCAACACGAACAGAGAGAATACGAGAGGCCCGAGCCTACTCCAGTCTGCCGCTACCATCGTCCCCATCGGTCGAGGAATGAGCAGGAATGATGAGAATACCCGACGGGTGGGTTACAGCACTCGAGTTGTCTAAAGCTGGACACTCCAGGTGTGGCGATAGAGGGCAGCGGCTGCTATCTCTCCTCTTATCGGTTTCTAACCTTTATCGTATGGATTCAAATCTTCCGCATGAGTGCTGGCAGCCGGATTTTTTTCTCCGAAGCTCTTAAGCGTTCGCTAGCTGCGTAGTGTAACTGTCCTAAAAATCAACAGTTGATAGTGAAGTCATTATTGACGGAGTATCAGAACATTTTCCCAAAAAGTTACAGTTTAGCATTTGTAGAAATAGATCACGGAAAACGGCATTCTGTGCCACAAAAGTGGCCTTTCGGCCGATTGAGTATCGTCACTCTGATGGGAACACCGAGATCGCCGAACATCCTTGGATGTCAACCTCACAGAGCCCCTCGCAGAAAACGTGAGGAAACAGTCATTCTGTGCCACAAAAGTGGCCTTTCGGCCGATTGAGTATCGTCACTCTGATGGGAACACCGAGATCGCCGAACATCCTTGGATGTCAACCTCACAGAGCCCCTCGCAGAAAACGTGAGGAAACAGTCCTCGACGAGTGCGAGCAAGGAAGTCTTAAGGCAAAAAGCTTACGGTAACGCTCGAAAGTGGTGCTCCGGTGGCTAGAATCCGTCACGTAACAGTACGAGAGCTTCCCCATATCGTACCCTCTGCAACCATACCTAAAGAAACTAACTAGAGACATACTCAAACAGATTGTCGAGTGGAAAAATCTGAGCGAAGAGTTCGCGAAGAAGTCGGAGTGGTATCGAGTCAATCAATTACGTGCTGTAGACGAAGCGCAAGTCGATTATACTCTGGTAGGGAGAACAAGCGTACCAGAACGCTCGGGTCTCTGAATATGCCTTCTTTCGGAATAAAAGGTTCCTTAATGCTCGCCTTGTGCAGAAGGAAACTCTGACATCTTACTTTTGCCGTGTACTGTAGTATCTTCCTCTTGGCGGATACTCATGCTATCTCAGGGTTCACGAATACGTAAATTCCAAGAGGTAAAATCCATTGGCATTAAAAGCCCTACTGATAAGCATCTCGTGCCCCTCCTCATAGCCTTTGAGCCTAGAAAGGAATGTGCTTGTAGTCAGAAACGATGATACGTTAGTCTCAGGTGACTCTGGTCTGGAATTGTGCTACCTTCACCTGATGCGCGAGGCTTACAAGCCTATTTGTCTATAATTTAGGCTACGGAGAACAGGACGACGCGTAACAGATTGCATGACACGTTCACTCATGCATGACACATTCACTCAATCACGGCATATGCTGTTTTCTCGCATCCCTTCGCTAAGCCTATGACCGAAAAAGTCATAGCCTCATGGGCTTCGCGCGTTAGGCTAAGGTTGCAGAGGCTTAGACCCGAAGGGCCGAAATGTGCACTGCAATGTGTTAATACTGGATGCTACTTCGATTAGAACGCTTAATACTCGCCGGTTACGAATGGGCTGATCAGATAGATTACTATGAAGAGGAATTCATTGCTGGGCAAAAGATTGCCACAGTTAATCGAGAACGGTCGGACAAGATTGCTCTTCTGTTGAAAAAGATGCACCAAGCATATAGCTGCAGGTTTTTGCATAAAGTTCGCCATTGCTGTTTGTAGTAGAAATGTGCCGCAGTTCACTCGATACTTCTCGTTTGATTATCATCGTGACTTCGGCAGAAAATCCGACTTCATTGGATCTTTCCAATCGATGACTTTAGCTCAACCAGGGATGCCCTTTCACAATTGTGACTATTCACGTTAATCCACCTCTTTCAATAATTCCCATTAAAAATCTTATTCATACGCTTGGTCCCATGGTCTTCGCCCAAGCCTAGGACGGCATAGTTTATAGTAGGCGTTAGGCGAAGGTAGTACAATTATAGGCCGAAATACCAACTAATAGCATTTTTTTTTTACCATGAGGGCCAATTGGCTTCCTATTGACGCGTGTGAGGGAAGCACTTAGATTGGATTTGATTGGCCTTCCAATTTCCATTTCTCCATCCGTGGGTTAGACCTAGGCTCAAAAAAACAGTCCTTGAGATGTGCCCTCAAAGCATGTACCCCCATATTCGGTGCTCTACTGTAACCTACCACACTGTGTATCCGTGTTCCCGCGTCATAGTAGGAAGAAAGGAGAGGGTTTTTTTTTTTTTAACTTCCATCTATGGGATACGCCTATGAAATCACCTCCCACCACCCCAAGGTATAAGAAGCTCGGACTATCGAAATCAGACTCACTGGAGTCGGCAACGTAGTACCTGTTAACGTTCATTCCAGCCAGTTTCGTTGAAGGAAGTGTTTACGTGACATGTAAAGAATTCTATATTTGTATGGCACAGAATTCTATATTTGTATGGCACAGAGAGGCCTAGACTTTTAGAGCTTGCATGTTAACCATCGCGCGAAGCCCACCAGCCTATGCCTTTCCAGGTCATAGGCTAAGCCTTAGATCCTTATAATTCCTAACATGTTACACCCGGTATATGACAATGCATAAATTTAAGATTACAAAATCAGCCGTAAGGTACCTCAAAGCCTGAATATTTCTAAAGTCAACACTCAAACAGTTATTCGTGTGCCAAGTTCCAGTCAGTTTCTAGAAAATGGTCAGAAGTAGCGTCAGTCACTCACGATCGTCTATATATATTAAATGGCCAAGAGATTGATGCATTGCAGACGGACGTTGCTGGAGATCCGTCAAAGAGAAAATGAGATCATAAACACATTGACCTATCCGCATCCAGGATCTTTCCCGCTTCCGTCCTAGCTGTATAATCGTGCTGCCTTGGCCTGATGCGCGAGGCCTACAAGCTACGCCAGCTCAGCCTGGATGACCACGTCACCGTCACCAGGTCAAGTGGGACAAAGACGAGATCTCTTCTGGGACTGCAACTTCAGACACTAAAGATCCTTCGTACTCATCCTTGAGATTTTTAACCTTTCCGTTATTTACCTGATAATATGTAAGTGTTGCATTGCAACATCATCATGACGTCACAGTAAGGGAATACGGGCATGCGACCCCACTAGGGGTGATTCATCCCTGACCTTTATTTACAGCCTCCGCCTCTAGATGTCGCTAGTGAGACCCAGTGCTTATTTAAATTTAATTCATTATACATCCCGTATAAGGAGTTTGTCCGCAAGTAAAGATTACATAGTTATTTTAGAACCCTAGGTCGTGAAGAGGTTGTATGGAGGGAGGAGTGTCATATGAGTAAAAATATTAATAATCGAATGAGAGTATTAGTTGTATGCCGCAGGAGTCCTTGAGCGAGAAGGCATGGGAAGTGAAGTGGCAATGATCCCTGTCGCTGAAGGTGATCGCCTGTCCATGCCAAAACCGTGCTTTCTCAGCTATTCTCCCAACTCAAACGAGACGGTTCGCTTTCCCCACCCCTCCTCTGCTTTGTCCTTGGTGTTCTATGGGTCAGACGTTTGAAATGAAGCATATGATCTTTATATACACACTAACGCTTTATATAACGCTTCCCCAGCGTTGGCGGGGAAAAATCAACGAGCACCTGTATGATAATTTGACCGATGCCCTAGCTCGTGCCCAACCTTGGACTGAAATACCCCACGAATGTCATCGTTCGAGGGGTTGGGGTTGCTCCAAACACCGGGAAATTCTGCATGTCGGGGCGCATCGTGGTAGTAGACGAATCTTGTTTCGACGAGAGGAAATACAACCGCGGTCGCCTTCGACCTACCCGGTGGGAGGGATCGAGAGACCGCACCATTTCTGTACTGAATGCGCTTATTTGGCAAAATCTCCGCTATTAATGATGCGATCGGCATGGTTGATACCTTCTTGAATTCCTCGATGAATGACCATCATAGTGCGTTACTCATCATCAACGTCCAATGTTGTTAAGTGACCGATCACCGGTCGCGAAACCTGAGGACCTTGAGAGCGACGATGAGGTGCCTGAAGACGTTGAACCAAATGTCACTCGGTAGGTATGCCGACATTTATTTCGTTGTGAGATACTATTTGTATTCATTTATATTTTATTCAACGTAGGATCAGACACTAGACCAACCAGAAACAGAAAGTGAAGATGTCGGAGATCCCTATATGGAACCTGATCTTCAGCCCACTGAAATCTCTCAAACGAGCGTCACCAAAAGGAAGGAATATGGCGTCGTCCTCCTTTTGGGGCGCCTCCTGACCCCCCTAATGTTTCTCCTCCACTAACGCCAATCGAGTACTTCAGGAAGTATTTTACACCTGAACTGTTTGAATTGTTGGTGGAGAACATTAACACCTACGCCCTTCAGAACAACGTTATACGGTTCAAACCAACGAATGCCTTCAAGATCCAAGCTCTTGTTGGTCTCCACCTTACCATTGGAAGCTTGAAGTTTACTGAAGACGTTGAAGAATGACATGGAGGAAAGAAATGAATGTGTCCTGCTTTTGACTTTTTCTGGAAATTACTCATTTCTGCTGCAAGATTCTCCACCGGGATAAATCCCAAGCTACGGCGGATCCGTTGCGGCCCGTTGCCGCGAGAGTGGCGAACAAAAGCACAAAAGTCGTGTCGTCATCAGCGATGAGCTCAATCACGTGAACGACGCAGTGTAATAATTTCAAGCGGATGTAATCAAGCATCTCAAAATATTACTGCCAGATCTAAAGATTAATTCCATTAGTGACGGTGCTTCAAACCAAATAAAAACAAGAACTTTAAAAACCTTTCTCGAAATAAAGATTTTGGGATGGATGCAGCTTGGCATTTTTTAAAATTGAAAAATGCTTGTGATGATGTGGGAGGAAATGTCAAGAAAAACGCTGCGAGGACATTTCTTCAGCGCACGACCAATAATCAAATCCGAACTCCATAACCTTCGCCATTAAGTACACGTAGTTCTCCAAAATTTAGAGATAACATATGGTAAACATCAACATAGCTAGTGGAATTACAGTTGATTTGGTGCCTAGAGAAATTCATTAAATATATTATTAGACAAATGATGATCATTTCTGGCAGCCATTCGGTATAGCACACGCAGCAATTTTTGAAATGCCAACTTCAAAGCATAAAATGTTTGGAAAAGTTTTGTTTTCCCTCAAAACATTTTTTTAAATAGTAAATTAACTCTAAAAAGAAAGTTGAAGCATAAAAATGAGAGACCATTGGTTGTCGAAAACCATATAGCACATGAGCATGACTGAGTATTCCACGGTGTTCAATTCGGGAAAACGTAATTAATTCCTTTTTATTTTGCAGATGGGCATCTGGAAACCGTAAAACTTCCATTGTTGGACAGATTACAAGAGACGTCGAAAAGACACGCCTGATGTTCTAACACCGCCATGCCACAGCAGCCCGCATCCCTGAGATGTCGACTTGACAAGCCCAGGCCAGAATTTTGAGATTTACCTGACCAATGTGATACATACATTATGGAACTGTCAACTCCTTGCAGGAAAACCCTCTGAAAACCATGGCTCATGCGACGACGGAAAGACCCTACCTCCCACACGTGCACATCAGTCTGAAGCGCAACCATCCCTTCAGTTGGAGTACCCCCAGACAGAGTCTCGACTCATTCTGCATCCACAAGTATACTCGACGCATCAACACTATTCCTTCCACAGAGCCTACGGCCTAGGACGGTATAAGCTTCAAGGCTACGCTACGCGCGTCAGGCTAAAACAGTATAACTCGAGGTCAAATTCGCGTCATGGGACTTTCAAGTAAATGAGTGAACTTCTCTCGCTAAGGTTCACAAAAACACCGAGATGCAACCTACTTCAAGTGTCCCCCACCCGTTACGTAGGCTTATCCAGATGGGGATGATGCGTGGGTCCGCGGTTGCGAATTTCTCGCCGTCGTCGAACATGTTCACCAATTCTCCCGTCTCGGGATCGATGATATCGTTTGCTAATATCCCGTGAGTCTCGGCGTAGAGACCCGTGGCGATGGCTTGATGATTCACGAAGGTGATGGACGGGAGGATCGGCTTCAACTTCGGCACGTAGACTCCATTCTCCCTCAACGCGACATCAAGAGAATGCTCTCAAGATCGAAAGGAACAAAGAGACCGACCTTCCAGTTGGTAGATGAGGACCAGGGGTGTGTTGGATGCATGCAGGTAATCATCGGGGGAAACGGGAAGGGACTCCAGGTCCACTGCCATATCGTGCTTTATTCCCATCATTCCATGATCCGAGAGGAAGATGAGATTAGTCCTTTCCGAGAGGCCCAGGCTATCGAGTCGACACACGAGGTATCCGACCGATTCATCCACCTGCTCCACCATCACCTTCGGAGAGGTGCCCCGAATTATCGGGTTGCTCCAAGTAGAACACGGCCAAATTGGCCGGATGGGTGAACCAGGACAGGGTGCGATCCACTCCCTCTTTTCAAGGTATGGTTCTATTGTAATCCATTCTTTGAGTGGGAAGGGATTCATTTGGACCCCAGTGAACATTTCCTCCGACCCACATACTCCCGAATATATCTTCCTTCCCCTGCTTCTTCATTCGTCACCTGTTTATAATTTAGACGAGCAAATGATCCCTGGGGAAACAGAGGATTACATCAGTAGGGGGGGAAAGGACCAGCAGCAATATAAATTCCACTAAAATATGAAAAGGGTGACACCGAACTCGGACCGTCTGAACGGAGAATTTCAGGTGCACATCTTGCAATAATACGACTACAAAGGACAAATAGACTCGTGATTGACGTATATTTACGTCCGTATCTTTCAACGGGTTAAACATTAGAATGCGAGTGATAAAACAGTAAGCTTTCCAGTATCCCTATTGGTCGACTCCATTTTCGGAGAAGAAAATTCCAATTGTCTCCAGACGGAGCGCCGTTCCTCCGAAAGGGTTTGTTCGTCCTCGCGCGA